GCACTGCCCGCTGTTCTTCTCCCTGTCTCACTCCCAGCTGGAAGGGGATGCTCTGACATCGCACTGGCCAGCAGCCAGACCGTATGCATTCCTCCGATCAAGATAATGCAGCTGGTGATATTCAAGATCAGGGAGGAGGAGGCTTCGGTGACACTCGTCGCCCCGAACTGGCCGAACCAGCCTTGGTTCCTGGAGCTGACAAAGCTGCTGGTGGCGCCACCCTGGCCGATCCCCATCAGGAAGGATCTGCTGTCTCAAACGAGCGGCTCGGTGTGGCACCCCAACTCGGAGTTATTGAGCCATCATATGTGGCTGCTTCGGGGATATCAGAGGAGCTGACCGCCCTGCATTCTCGTGTGCTTGATACGCTCTCGGAGGCGCGGGCGCCCTCCACGAGGCGTTTGTATGCTCTAAAATGGGGAGTGTTTGTGAAATGGTGCCATGATGTTCATATCGACCCGGCTGCTTGCTCCGTGTCGGATGTGCTGCGTTTTCTACAGTACAGACTGGATAGTGGATCTCTGCCATCAACACTGAAAGTCTACGTGGCCGCTATTGCCTCATTTCGTTCCCCGCTGGGCGGGCAATCGATCGGTAGGCACGCGCTGGTGGTGAGTTGTACTCAGTGCAGCTCCTGCTATTCAATGTCTAATTCGATTGGTGTACCATCATCATCTTATGTGTTATACTGCTGCTTAACACCGTTATCTCTGTGCAGCCCCCCCTCACAATACTGTGGTTGTTCTTGCTTCTGCCCTGTTTCTCAGCGCAGCATACGTTATCACTGACCCGATATGCAAATTTCATATACCTGGGCTTTAGGTGCTCATTGGCTTGTCTCCACCTATCAGCTGCGAGCCCGCCTAGCAAGCGTCGCTATTGGTTGTGGGAATTGTGTTCTCTATCGTCACTGAGTATGTGACTTGTACAGGCTGCTCAAAGCCTCTCTCACGGCGGGATTGAATATCGTTCCCATAACGGAGAAATATCTCCGTGATGTCTCGTGAAAGCTCGAGAGGGAACGCTCCGGTTACTATCGTAACCTCGGTTCCCTGAGAGCGGGAACGAGACATCACGGTGGTCGCCGTGTTCGCTGCTCGATCAGCTAAGCGGCGTTCAGTATCAGATTCTGACATAATTGTCTCGTGCACCGCATTTTATACTGCCTCTCGAGCACGTCAGTATTTGCATGCTATTTGCATACTTCGCGACAATTGGCCAGTCATTTGGACTGGCGTGAGCCAATAGGACTCCAGGAAAGGTTGGAGTTCCGGAGAAATGTCTCCGTGATGTCTCGTTCCCGCTCTCAGGGAACCGAGGTTACGATAGTAACCGGAGATGATCATTACATATGCCATTACTTGGAAGTATGCCTGAAACCAGTTTCTTTAGTCATACACAAAAATGTTACTCAACTGACTATTGTGTTTCACAGGAGTTAAACTCTATAAAGCAGTATTTGATACATGAATTCCTAAAATATCTAAATTCTCATCATCTTAAGACATATTATTGGAAGATTTTTGTTTCTGTTGTTTTGTTTTAAAGGTTCAATAAACTGATCCATTTCAAAAAACGACATTTTCTGAGTACTATTTCATGTAAGTCTTTACAGGATTAACCAGATGTAGACACAGTGCATTGCTGTAGGTCTGAGAAACAATGAAGGCAATGCAATTTGCCATAAGGCTCCACTGAGGTTATTTTATTCACAATATTCACAAAATATTAGTGCTTCAGGTTGGCCAATATCAAAGCAGTTCAACATGACCTCAACACATTATCCACATTATCACAGTTCACCCCGATCAATTTTATTTTCTTTCACAAAACCACGAAGTATAACATAAAATTCGGCGAAATCAGTTTGGATAATGCGTTTACTGTTTGTCTAAACTAACAGCTAACAACAAAAACACATCGCGCACCTACAAAAACAAAAGCTAGCTGGCTATATGTTACTTCTGTAAATTAGAGTAGCGTTACACGATGACAAACCAGTTAGAAAACGGTCTTTGAGAAGCAATAAAATTAATAAAATTGTTATCTAACCCGTATTAATGTCAAAGAATTTAACTGGCTGTGAGCGCTTTCGCTAACGGCGCTAACGGCTCATTATAGTAGCGCGAGTCGTCCGCTGTCGCCATCTTTTAAGAAGGCTTTAACGCTACTTTAAATTTAAAATATAGGATTTCCAGTCGTCGTTTTCCTTTTTTTTTTTAAATAAAACGAAATTAAGAGAAATAAAGATACATTCTTTGTAAACTTGCTATATGCTATTGTTGCTGTTGTCTGCCCTGTACTCAGTGCAGCTCCTGCTATTCAATGTCTAATTCGATTGGTGTACCATCATCATCTTATGTGTTATACTGCTGCTTAACACCGTTATCTCTGTGCAGCCCCCCCTCACAATACTGTGGTTGTTCTTGCTTCTGCCCTGTTTCTCAGCGCAGCATACGTTATCACTGACCCGATATGCAAATTTCATATACCTGGGCTTTAGGTGCTCATTGGCTTGTCTCCACCTATCAGCTGCGAGCCCGCCTAGCAAGCGTCGCTATTGGTTGTGGGAATTGTGTTCTCTATCGTCACTGAGTATGTGACTTGTACAGGCTGCTCAAAGCCTCTCTCACGGCGGGATTAAATATCGTTCCCATAACGGAGAAATGTCTCCGTGATGTCTCGTGAAAACTCGAGAGGGAACGTCTCCGGTTACTATCGTAACCTCGGTTCCCTGAGAGTGGGAACGAGACATCATGGAGGTCGCCGTGTTCGCTGCTCGATCAGCTAAGCGGCGTTCAGTATCAGATTCTGACATAATTGTCTCGTGCACCGCATTTTATACTGCCTCTCGAGCACGTCAGTATTTGCATGCGATTTGCATACTTCGCGACAATTGGCCAGTCATTTGGACTGGCGTGAGCCAATAGGACTCCAGGAAAGGTTGGAGTTCCGGAGAAATGTCTCCGTGATGTCTCGTTCCCGCTCTCAGGGAACCGAGGTTACGATAGTAACCGGAGATGATCATTACATATGCCATTACTTGGAAGTATGCCTGAAACCAGTTTCTTTAGTCATACACAAAAATGTTACTCAACTGACTATTGTGTTTCACAGGAGTTAAACTCTATAAAGCAGTATTTGATACATGAATTCCTAAAATATCTAAATTCTCATCATCTTAAGACATTATTGGAAGATTTTTGTTTCTGTTGTTCTGTTTTAAAGGTTCAATAAACTGATCCATTTCAAAAAACGACATTTTCTGAGTACTATTTCATGTAAGTCTTTACAGGATTAACCAGATGTAGACACAGTGCATTGCTGTAGGTCTGAGAAACAATGAAGGCAATGCAATTTGCCATAAGGCTCCACTGAGGTTATTTTATTCACAAATATATCTCGATATTAGTGCTTCAGGTTGGCCAATATCAAAGCAGTTCAACATGACCTCAACACATTATCACCATGTGGTCAGTTCACCCCGATCAATTTTATTTTCTTTCACAAAACCACGAAGTATAACATAAAATTCGGCGAAATCAGTTTGGATAATGCGTTTACTGTTTGTCTAAACTAACAGCTAACAACAAAAACACATCGCGCACCTACAAAAACAAAAGCTAGCTGGCTATATGTTACTTCTGTAAATTAGAGTAGCGTTACACGATGACAAACCAGTTAGAAAACGGTCTTTGAGAAGCAATAAAATTGTGAATAATCTTATCTAAACCGTATTAATGTCAAAGAATTTAACTGGCTGTGAGCGCTTTCGCTAACGGCTCAAACTTACCATTATAGTAGCGCGAGTCGTCCGCTGTCGCCATCTTTTAAGAAGGCTTTAACGCTACTTTAAATTTAAAATATAGGATTTCCAGTCGTCGTTTTCCTTTTTTTTTTAAATAAAACGAAATTAAGAGAAATGAAGATACATTCTTTGTAAACTTGCAAGATCGGAAGAGACCCTTTCTTGCCAGTGTTTTGTGCGAGAATAACGTCTCAAACACAGCTGCGCCACGTTCTTCTTCGAATGCCCATGAATGGAGTGTTTTCGCGTCACATCACTATTGCCTCCTAGTGTTAGACAGCAAGAGTGATTACAACACAATGGATAAGCATTTGCTTTAATGTCTGATTTATTCAATAAACAAAAAAGCATTTAAAAAAACATATGAAGGAGAATATGAAATTCGCACATTCTGCCTTTCATAATAATTTAATGATATGTTCAAAATCTCTATGCAAAGAATATAGCAGATATACCAGTAAATCTTTGGTTAGAGTGGACAAATACACATGAACCACTAATATAATTTAATTAAATAAATATTAAAAATAAAAACACCATATCTTTCCATATTAGGATTAATATTCCATGTAGTACTGGAATAATATTGTATACAGTAGCAGTAATAATAGTAATTATTATTATTTATATAATTCTTATTATTTTTGCATTTTCGGCTTTTGAATAACTGAAACTGATTAAACAAATCATTTAATATCCCTAGAAATTGAGTGGAACTGTTTAGCCATGTTAAAGATTGTGAGAACATCAATGACACATTTAAACACTTAGTTACACTTTACATGCAAAAACGATATTGTAACAGAACCACAGACCAGATTAAAGCATGGCAGGACTCTAGAGGTGACTTTTATGTCCTATAGTAAGTAATCAGCTAAAGGAGAACAATAGCAGCAGAGCAGGAAATTCTCTTTAGCTTCACATCAGCTCCACGAGGTAAACTGGTTTCTAAATGCATCTGAAATACTCATTGCATTGCAAAAGGAATGTGTCAAATATGCTAGCTATGAGTCATCTAATGTGCTCTAATATGTAACAGGATGCATGTGCGTTTATGGTCACTCCAGAGTTTTGAGCTCAGAGCCTCATCCAGGGTCCATGCCTTTGTCTAAGGCTGGCCTCGCAGTCTGAGGACTGCGGTTGGGTAGTTTCTTCATCTTGAGTCCCATTTCCTATTCCTGTTGCCCCCTGCTCATGATCTGGGTCCTCCTCACTCAAACTGGTCTCTGCAATATGAGGAGCCTCGAGGAAAATGGGACCTTCATCTATAGAGGAGTCCTGAGCTGTTGAAGAAAACATTAACCAGTGATCATTAAGAATGGACTTGTTCTATAAACTACATTGCAGTTTGGGGTCAGGAGTTTTTTTTTTTTTTTAAGAAATTAAAACATTAATTCAGCAAGAACACATTAAATTGATATCGGTGATATTTGATATCAATTGATATAGTGCCATTAAACATTTATAAGGTTACAAAAGATTTCTATTTCTAATAAATGCTCTTCTTTGAACCGTTTATTCATCAAAGAATCCTGAAAAACTGTATCACAAAAATATTAAGAAGCACGTCTCTTTTCAAAATTGATAATATTAAGAAATGTTTCCTGAGCATCAAATCAGCATATTCAAATGATTTCTGAAGGATCATGTGACACTGAAGACTGGAACAATGCCTGCTGAAAATTCAGCTTTGCCATCACAGGAATAAATTACATTTTGAAATATATTCAAACAGAAGTTTTTTTTATATAACTGTAATAATATTTTACAATATTAATAATAAATTATATTTTAAAATACATTAAAATAGAAAAGGTATTTTAAATTGTACAAATATTTCACATTACTGTTTTTACCGTATTTTTGATCGTCTTGGTGAACATCAATGACTTTTCATAAACATTTTAAAAATCTTACAGACCCCAAAGTGTTCTTATTCTATTCTTCTTATGTTTTAAGTTCATATTTTTACCAGCTTCATCCTCCTGCAGGTGATTCAGGTCCTCTGTCCCAATCGCACTAGGAGTGTCCAACTCACCTGCACAAACAAACATGATCTGTATGATTCTTCACTGACATTATCACTGCATTTATTGTGCATATAATGTGCATTTAATCTGTAATGTTCTGCCTGAGATTCCCTGGGTTCACCACTGGATGACACAATTTCAACGCTAGATCACTTCTCCTTTGTTAGAGACTTGTAGCACTCACACCTGTATTAAAGGTCCCATGGCATGAAAATTTCACTTTATGAGGTTTTTTAACATTAATATGAGTTCCCCTAGCCTGCCTATGGTCCCCCAGTGGCTAGAAATGGCGATAGGTGTAAACCGAGCCCTGGGTACCTGCTTTGCCTTTGAGAAAATGAAAGCTCAGATGGCCCAATCTGGAATTTTCCCTTTATGTCGTCATACGGGGAAAGGTTACCTCCCCTTTCTCTGCTTTGCCTGCCCAGAGAATTTGGCCCGCCCATGAGAAAATGAGCTACTACCGTGCGAGGCGAGCGCAATATTTTTTTTTCCTCAAGAGACATCATGGCTTGCAAACGAGCGAAGCATGGCAGTTGCCCCGCCTCTCTCCTCCTCATTAGCATTTAAAGCTACAGACACAGAAATGGCACGTCCTAAGGAAAGCTCATTGTGGGACTGGCTCGTAGTGGCTGAAATTCTGCACCAAGGCTGAATTTCGGGAAAGAGACTTCAGATACAGTACTAGGGACCACTTAGGCCTATATAAAAGCATCCAAAAAGCAGCATGTCATGGGACCTTTAAATCACTCCTAATAGCCAATCTTATTTAAAGGCCTCACTGCCAATTGTTCTTGTTCAGTCCTGATGTCTGCTTGAGCATGTTGCTACCAAGGAATTGTGATTAGAGATTTTCCTTCCAGTGGTAAGCACCAAGGATATTCACACCACAGACCTAGGTTCGATCCCCATCTGGATAATAACAATAATACAGAGATCTACTGCATCAGTTTAATAAATTTCCAACTTGTCGCACCTTTGTTTTGACTGGTTCGTTTGGTTCGTTGTGGTGGATCTGCCAGTTCACCGTTATCTCCTCCATACTTCATGACTGGGGGACAGTGGAAGAATTGCATAGTAGTGACTGATCTGTTTGGTTGAAATGATCATGTGTGAGTGATTGTGGCTTCTTACTAGGAGTGCTGGCGGATGAGTGCATACGTTTCCGTGCTTCTTCCCTCCTCTGCTGAAGACGCGTCGAGTCTCCCATCATCACCTATGTATGTAAACAGACGACATCCAATGGAAATGTGACAGCATGAAGGTTAAATAAATTAGGCAGACAGATGGTCTTACCTTCACTCTGACCTGATCGGGGGGATAGAGCCCTCCCCAGATGAACTGCAAGTAACTGAAAAGCAAAATGACACTGAGGAAGGTGAAGTTACTCGCCACCCCAACAATTGCAGACATCACAGGGAAATTATGCAGGAGGTATCTGTAGCAAAAGAGAAGAAAATTGCAGGATGGTCATGGGGAAGTCTTGAGCTGAAAGTGAGAAGCATCACTTGACGGAACATGAATAGTCAAATAAACCAATAAAACCAAACTAGGGATGCACGATATTATCGGACCAATATCGGAATCGATGTAAATATCGGCATCGGCCCGATATGAAAAATTATGCTGATATGTCTTGCCGATAAGAGGAATACATTAACTCACATGTGCTCAGGGTGTGCTAGCGATTAGATCACATCAGCATTGTGGCTCATTCTTGAAGCAAAGTTTTGCCTGAATGATGAGTTTCTGATTAAATAAAGCAGTAGTTGATGCCATAAAATCATGAGTATGTTTTGATTTAAAGGTCAGAAGCTATAGCTTACATGAACAAAAATAAATAAATCACAAACAAACACAAATTAAATTATTTTATATATACTGATTGATTCATTAATGTGTAATATGTTATTTTTGTAACTAATTATGAGCTCTAAATGATTTTCAGAATATTTACAATTCTTCTGCTTTAGACCATTAAAAAAATTTTAAATCTTAAAATAAAATGTTAAGGTTACCACTGCATCTTTCTGAAAAAAAAAAATGCAGCGATTGGATATAGTTTATTTATAGTTATTTTCAAATCTTCAATGTACTGTCATTAGAACTTCAAAGAACTTAATTATTGTTTAATTATAACAAATAAGTTATTTTTAAAAACTAACTTGCTTATAATAATTAAAAATAATTTGCTTATAATTTCTGCACAGGAGAGACTTGGTGCTATTTCCAAACAAAATAAATATAATGGTATCGGCATCGGCCAAAATGAGTAGAAAAATATCGGCATATAAGATATCGGCAAAAATCCAATATCATGCATCCCTAAACCAAACCATTGCAAATACCTAATGCCAGTGAAGAAGGCATGGATCCTGAGCTGGGCAGAATAAATCTGGACCTTGCGGGATTGAATCTCAATCACTGCGCCAACGGCAGGCTGGTACTGTGGAGGACAGACCAATATAATGAATGATTTTTGTTAATACAAATTAGGGCTGGGCAATATAGCTAAAAAATGTATCAACGATATAATGTTTCATATCGTTCGGTATCGATAATTATTGACATTTTTTATAACCTTTTTTAAAACAAAGAGCAATAGAAAAAAAACGTTTAAATTTAACCACTGTATTTTTAAATTAACCCAATTTATTGAGACAAACAACAAATATTTTTTTGTTTTAATAGTCGAACACAAAATAACAATTAAACAAATATCTAATTTAATTTGATTAAATAGGTCTGAAGGAAACTTTTGGCTCGTCTCCCGAGGCCACAGGAGGGCGCAATGAGCAAAATAATGCAGCACATTACATTGCCAACGCAAAGGAAATAACTGTCTATAAAAAACCGTGCATTACGTCTAAATTAACTCATATAAATCAAACATAATTTCGTAAATTGCATAAACAATTATGAACAAAACAGCATCATGTATTTATGCATTGCTTAATACAAAGAGCCGAATCGCCCATCACGCAGATTGCATTTAAAAACATAAGAGACGCAGTGAAAAGGAATAAACCTCCACAAATTGACGTGTGGGGTGTTTTCTGAAAGTTTAAACTGTTTTAACTTTGCATGGCTTTCTATAAATCTCTCGTGTGAGACGTGAGAGCAGCAGTCATATTTGTCCGTCTAAAAAATGCGCTGAATATGCGTTCTGTGTGAATGGCTTGGTTTCAGTTTTAAACAATCTCCTCATCACAGGCAGGCACAGCACTCAATTCAGCATGTGTTCGTGTTTGTGTGTGCAGTCTGCGTCACTCATAGCACGTGCCTATATCATGCGCTATATCGAACATTTTTTCTATCGTAATCGAAGAGGGTGTACCGTCAATATATATCGATACCGTTTTATCGCCCAGGCCTAATACAAATTTTAGAAATTTATGATACCTAGATATGTACTCTTGACATGAATAATCTGAAAAATGTCAATGACATGTTTCAATGTCAAAGCTCACATTTTACAAACTTACAAAGTCGGATTTGAAATCTGGTAAGAGCTCCACCTCGATGAGCTGTTTCTGCTCAGACACACCTGTGAGCAAGAGGGGTGAGAACAGCAGCGTGCTCATGGTCTGCAGCAGATTAGAACGGTAGTGCAGCATTGTCTGATGGGAAAAAAAACAAGACACAAGTAAATATGCGGTAAACAGCCATTTACTGACAGGTATTCTAATATAAAAGGTCGACTGTAGGTCCATAAACATCAAATGTGAATCTAAATCAGACTGAAGATGGACAACACATTCCACACTACCACAGACTTGAGTGCATCTGAAACCAAATAAAATTTGGGATTTTTGCAGTTTGTAAGATTTTGTTTTAAGAGACATTTCTTACGCTCACCAAGGCTGCATTTATTTAATCAAAACTACAGTAAAAACATAATGTGAAATATTATTAAAATTTAAAATAACTTTTTTTCTATTTTAATATATTTAACATGATATTTATTTATGTGATGGCAAAGCTGAATTTTCAACAGCTATTACTCCAGTCTTCAGTGGCACATGATCCTTCAGAAATCGTTCTAATATTCTGCTTGGATGCTCATAAAATGTTTCGTATTATCAAAATTTAAAAGTTCATTTTTTTTAATCTGCTTAATTTTTTTTTTTTTTCAGGATTCTTCAATGAATAGAAAGCTCAGAAGAACAGCATTTATCTGTAATAGGATTTTTTCATTACAATGTAAAAGTCTTTACTGACACTTTTGAATAAGTTAATGAGACCTTGCTTAATAAAATTATTAATTTCTTTAAAAAAATAATAATAATAATTTGGAACAGTAGTGTATACCAGCTAATTTCCCTATCTTTATATTTAGATTACATTTGCCATCACCTAAAGCTCACTAAAAGTTAACACAAATAATGTAAAAACACAAATAAATGAATAATAATTGCTGTTAAATCTTTAGCAAATCTCAAAATGAATATCCATTTTCATACTCTACATTTTAATGTTGTGATGCCTAAGTTCACTTTTAGCACTTATCAGAACTTATCAGATTATTGATATAATTTAATATTATTTAAATTGCTGTTATGTTTATCAACAGCTGTCTTCACAACCAAAACAACATAAACAACAATTAATTTTGAGGGAGCCGTCTGCACCATGGTCTGCACTCACTGAGCGGGACACCGACTGAACGACTGTCCCATCAGTGGTATAGCATGACATTTTGACCATGAACATGCCAAGCTGTTCGTTCACAGGAGATTCAGGCATTTCCAGCTCCAGAGAGATCCTGTAGGCCTGACCAGACATCATCACCTACCAGAAACAGTCAAGCCAATACAATTAGCTGTACATATGAACGAAAATCCATTTTTAAACTCATTGTGCATACATTAGTTATGCAATATACAAGTATTATAGTTTTCTTGTGCATCATTAATGGGCTTGTTAGATAATGTTTACAGCAAAGCTTTAAAGGATATTCATTGCATGTATATTTAGCTAATGTCGAAAAAACCTGTAAAAACATGTCTATAATTTGTGTAATTCATTATAATTTGATTAGAATTAGAATTTGTCTACCTGGTCTCTTCCATTCTTCAAGAGTGAGACGTTAGCCATGGGGAAAGAACAGAGGACTGAATCTGAAGCATCGCAATCTGTCCTGTAAGAAACGGAGGGGAGAAGAATCAACCACAATGCAATGTGAACTCCAGTAATGCCTCCAACAGTATTTGTTCATTGGACCAAACTAATTAAGAACCCAGTCATGCGCAAACAGGCCATTGTAAAAAACAATACAGGGATGTTCCCGATCAGCCCTGACGTGTCTGTACCTGTAGAAGAAGTGTACTGGTGTGGAGAAGCTGACACTGGGCATGTAGGAATAGTAGAAGCTTCCATACAGGAAGATGGAGACCCACAGAAGAAGCACCAGGACACAGAACAGGATGGCAGCCCTTAGAAGTGTCCTGCGAGCTCTCAGCAGAGTCACCGCTGCCACATCCTGGAGCCAAAGCAGTAACGGCCCCATTGCTGCTCCCATAGCCGGCAATCCTTCGGTGTCACGTCCAGACGTGGATCCTCTGATTTCACGGTGCCTGCCCGTCAGCCCTCCCACTGCAGGCAAAGGGGTCTTTCCCTCTTTACTCATGCAAACCTCCTCACACGCTATCCAATAATATGTCCAGTCTGCATCACTACATCTAATAATTCTTGTAATCTATAGTCAGAATTGATGGTTTGAAAATACAGGGGGGTTAAAAGCTCATAACACAAATTTGACCAAAGTCACATTTGGATCTAGTTGTCATTAGACCTCGTTCTGTGACTAAAGACATGCCAGTTTCTTATCTGATGATATGAATTTGCTTTTCCAGCTTTCTTCTGTTATTGCCAATGAAGTCACAGAGAGCCCTAAAAAAGCAATGAGAGAGGAAAAAAAACAGAATTAAACACATCAATTATATTATAATTGCAAAGTAACTGCAATAATATACACAACAAACATTAAATAGCACATTTATACTTTTTTTGAGATGAAGACATGACCAAATTAATCATTTTTTAAACCTCTCAGAATACAAATCATATTGTACTGTGCACTGTAAAAAAAATACTATATTTGTAAAAAAAATATATACTATAAATTGCAATATTTTTTTTTGTTTATGCACATTTTTATACTCATATATTCTTATATACTTTTAAATACATACAAACACACACACACATATATATATATATATATATATATATACAGGTGCATCTCAATAAATTATAATGTCGTGGAAAAGTTCATTTATTTCAGTAATTCAACTCAAATTGTGAAACTCGTGTATTAAATAAACTCAATGCACACAGACTGAAGTAGTTTCAGTCTTTGGTTCTTTTAATTGTGATGATTTTGGCTCACATTTAACAAAAACCCACCAATTCACTATCTCAACAAATTACAATATGGTGACATGCCAGTCAGCTAATCAACTCAAAACAACAGCAAAGGTTTCCTGAGCCTTCAAAATGGTCTCTCAGTTTGGTTCACTAGGCTACACAATCATGGGGAAGACTGCTGATCTGACAGTTGTCCAGAAGACAATCATTGACACCCTTCACAAGGAGGGTAAGCCACAAACATTCATTGCCAAAGAAGCTGGCTGTTCACAGAGTGCTGTATCCAAGCATGTTAACAGAAAGTTGAGTGGAAGGAAAAAGTGTGGAAGAAAAAGATGCACAACTAACCGAGAGAATTTGAAAATTGATAAACTTTTTTTGACCCACTTCAAATGTTTAGAGAGACGCATCTGTATATACATATATATATATATATATATATAGTGTGTGTGTCGTCCTCTGTGAAGCAGAGACTAATTCATTCATTGCTTGTAATTAATGCAGCATAATGTATTTTTGTACATTTAACAGTCTGACACGAATTACAGCAAAACAATAATGCGGTAAAATATGAAAGAAAAAAACACCAGGATAAAAAGATGTGCAGTGTCATTTCAGCTTGTCCTTTACATACAATTGTATCTTTAAAACTTATTTGTAGTCTCTCTGAACTGGATATTAAGTGCTTTCCTGTCTCCATTCCGCAGTTTATCTTACACTGATGTCTTTATCAGTTAAGTACATTATATTGAAATATAAACCGCAAACTCACCTACTTTAATTCGAACATACGCCATGAACAAATACATATTTATGCTTCAGAATACACTAATGAACAACCCCTTTCTCTTCCTTCCCTCTGACTGTTCTGTGCTAGTGACGCATAATTTATGCATTTCAGGGAAGAGCAATTGATCTCCAAATCATATTTAAACAAAAGCGAAAAATAATGTTTCTCACGTTCTATCTATAGATCAGAGAAAAACAACGATCTGTTTAACTCAGTGTCGCCTCTGCTGGTGTGACAGAAACACATGTACGGCAACATAAGAGGTACAAAATATACTGTTCGATGCGTTTGCGTGTCTGCATCGGCGCTGCCTATGTAGTGCAATTTATGTTATTCATTCGAATTGTTTGCTTACAGAAAATCAGTTTTGATTTATATGGATGTATTTTTATCAAATACTTTAGCTTTTTTAGCAAACAAATCTTTTTATTGCAAGAAAAGAAACATCACCACAATGAAATACAATAACATAAAGCAAAAAAGAAAGGGAAAAGAAAAAACAGAAACAAGTAACAATGACACCTTAATCAGTAAAAACAAACAAAAAAAAACAGTGAAACCTGTTATTCTTATTATCATATTAGAATTAATTCATTAATTAATTTGTTTATTTTTTATTTACAATGTAACACAAATAAATTAACAACAATATACAATAGCATGGCAACTGCGAGAAAAATAAAGAAATATATCTTTCAACCAAAAGTTTATATCACATTTTTAAAAAGCAGATAGACAACAACTTTCCAAAGAAGTTCTGCCAAAGAGATAAAACCTGATGGTAGAATAAATGAAGCAAAGTCTCTTCTTCAACTTACACAGAATACACATACGTTAGAGCAAATAGTCTATAAACAATAAGGGTCAATGGCGTGACAAATTTTTAAGAAATTCAAAAATACAATGAAATGAAATGAGATAATGAAATTAAATTGTCTGAAACCACACATTTTTTTGTTATATAAAGAGCATGTTCTTTCTACTTTGTTACACATTCAATTACATGTTTGTTGAAAATAGTATAAACATTTTGTATAAAATGTATAAAGTCGTCATAAATAAAACATTACATTTCTTCTTTTTATCATCTTGGACATCTTCATTGGTGAACCATGAATCAAGAACATGTTAAAACTTGCCGACCGCCATTAAGAACCCCTTTATTCTTTCTTTATATCCACCAAATGTTCCAGATAACAGTATTTTCATTTCTCAGGAGGAAACTAGGTGGCAGATTTGCAACAAAGTGAGTGTAACATGAGAATGAATGCAGTTGGAGGGTGGAGTGATGTAAAAATGTGGGGGGTTTAAGATCTTAACCAAGGTGGGAGAGACCACTGAGTCAAAATGGTGCCTCAGTACAAGACACAGAGGCTGAGACTGCAGCAGTTCCCATGGTAACAGAGCAGTGAGCGGGAAGGCTCACTTATTCAGAAGCTTCAGCAACATCACCGGCAAACAACACAATAAATATTTCTTGCTATCAAATGTTTCAGTATCATTTTTGACAATATAAATCAGTTTTGTGAGACTTTAGTTTTAACACACTGCTTTACATTAATACATTTCCCTCCCCCTTCATCCACCCCATGCTGCTGGAAAGATGGTATGAGCCAGCCCGCAGAATAAATCAATCCTAATAGGGCCCCCGCCCTCTGGCTGGCACATTCCACCCACTGCAGAGGGGAGTTTTACGTATGTACCAAGAGACTGGTGTTCATTGTAGCAGAATTGCAGTGCACTGGACTGTACAGAACTGGGTAGCATCCCCACTGTCTATGAGGGTGCGGTCCGGCTGCACTGAAAGCAACAACACTGACAATTAGAGAGAGAGAGAAGGAATAAGAAAGAAGAGGAGGGAGAGATATCACCACAAGAGGAATACAGCAAGGGTAAGAAATAGAGTGAAAGGGATAAAAGAGGGTAAAAAAGGCCCAGAATGACAAAAATAGACGAATACAGCCCTGTGGTCTTTTTTATGCTTCTTGATCTCCATTCACTCCTATTTTCTTGTATACATCCTTTTAAATGTATTGCTTTCATTTCATTTCATTCATTGAAATTGATTGCATATTTTGTTTCTATATCACATTTTCATATTTTAGGGTCTTATGTTATCTGTTTGAGCAGCTGAGATTGTAACTTCTGTATCTGGCCTAGTTTTTTTTTTTTTGCTGTCTGCAACACGTGATTTCCTCATCTATAGATGCCTAAATGTTTACATTGAACCAGATTCCATTCAAAACGGCTGTTTTTCTTTTTTATTGCTCAGAATAATATGGTATATTCCATGTGGTGACTGGATCCCTGCAAGCACATCCTATGTGCAAAATGGGGCCGGCATGCCCCAATACACTGCTGAAATCCTTTTCAAAATCATTAATGCTACTCATAGACCATTTTAGGTAGATATATATTTTAGGTGTATAGTGAACTAACCCTTTAAGGTCTGTAAACTCCTCCCTTCCATAAGTTTACTCTGCTCTGATTGGTCAGCTGGCTAAGTCTGTTGTGATTGTTCTTTCCGTATACAATAAGTGTCGGAATGAAAAGGCCTGAGGATTACTTGTAAACAAAGATGCTATAAGCTTACAAAAATGGCATCAATATTACCTTATCAATTCGAGCCCAAGACCGAGGATGATTCCGATGCAGTCGCTCAACCGGAAACTCCATTGCAAGCACCACTTGATTAGGACGTTTTTCAGTGGTAAGTTTAAACTTTGTATGTGGTACTTTACGTGATGTCTTCACATCATCATCTTTCGGCAATGAAAGTGTTTGAGGGCAGGTCAGAGTGTCTGTATTTCGCGGGCAGGTGGGGATTATGCAAATGTGTTACCTTGTGACGTATACAGGTGCATCTCAATAAATTAGAATGTCGTGGAAAAGTTCATTTATTTCAGTAATTCAACTCAAATTGTGAAACTCGTGTATTAAATAAATTCAATGCACACAGAATCGACTCTTTCTTTTGAGAGACAATATCTTTATTTATCATGCACTTTTTTGATTAACAACTTTGCACACTGTTTACATTGAAGGATAACTACGTTACAAACGGCAAAAAAGATATTCTTCGAAAACCCATATGACCTGCTCTTTAACTAAAAGGACCTTATTGTAAAGTAGTATTCTCTATATTAATAGTGGTAGCATCATTTGATCAATTACACTCTTTTTTTTTATTTTTTTATTTGCATCTGGTGGAACCTTTCTATTCCAAAAAGGTTCTTGATAGTGGAAAAGGGTTCTTTAGATTATTAAAAATGTTCTTCACATTGGTTCTTTTAAGAACTGTTCACTGAAAGGTTCTTTTGGGAACCAAAAATGGTTCTTCTGTTGCATCACTGCAAAAACCCTCTTGTAGGGCAGCACAAATATACTTTTATTGGCTGGATTGTGATTATGAACTCCTTAATCAAGATGAGCATATTCATTTTTCTATTTCAAGGGGATTTTACATTGATGTCTGAGTAATTTTGTGTGTGTAGGATGAAAGGAGACACCCCTGTGAACAGCACCATGAGCGTCGGTCAGGCCAGGAAGCTGGTGGAACAGCTGAAGATTGAAGCCAGTTTTTGTCGAATCAAGGTGAGGGTTGCCATGCAAAATAACCAGAAAATGTGGCAAACATGAATCAGATCAGTGGTAATCCTGCCTGCCTAAAAATACGTCTTATTATACCAGCCTGTACGTAGCAGACTAATTTGTATAAGATGTGATCAAAGATCTGGAATCAGGTTAATTGGTATGACCTAATTCTACAATCCCCCCGGTAAAGTGTGTCCTACAAGTAGAATTTGAAGCATTCAACAGTCTTTAAGCATTGACCTCAACCTTTCATTTCACTCATACAATGTTCTATTTAATTAAAATGCTGTTTTAGCCAAGATATGAAGGTGCAGTTTATAAAGCAAGACACTACAGGCAAACCCAGTGTTTTTCAGGTGCTGGTCAATTTTTAGATTATTTTGAGGCTATTTTGTATCCATCACTTGTCTTCATTTTAGACTAGTAGAAAGAAAACACTAAAAATACCCATTTAAGTGTTAATTTGATTACACTTTATTTATTTGTGTCTATAGATTTCAGTTGCAAGCCTGTTTTCTCAAAATGAGTTTTTTCTCATATGCAAAAAAATCTCAGTAGCACTTACAAACACTAAACTTTATTTTTATTCAAATTCTGAAGGTATTTACAAAAGAGTTTGTTCATACAACGTTCGCCTGATTTACTTTATTCCTAAATATATGGTGATTTGATAGCATTTTCTGACTTATGGAGTGATCCAAAATCCTCTCTGTAAAAACTCTCTTATGTCATCAAAACAAAACAAGAATTTTTGTTCAGATTTCTCTTCTAGAAATGTATACAAATTAGTGCATATTTAATTAGATAATGCCTTATTTGCATATTGGAACATAACAATTTTAGAAAACTTGTAATACAAAACAATTATCTTAATGTACTTTAATTAACTGGGGAAAGGTGATATCTATTTTTTTTTTTTTTCTTTTACCTGATTCACCTGCAGTGTCTTACCTTAAGAACAAGACGATCAGCTTTGAATCAATAACTGTTTTAGTGCTTTTAATGTTCGGCACTGATAATCTACCTGAATTCTTAGGTGTCTAAGGCAGCGGCGGACTTGATGGCCTACTGTGATGCCCATGTATGTGAGGACCCTCTCATCACCCCCGTGCCCACTTCAGAAAACCCGTTCAGGGAGAAAAAGTTCTTCTGTGCTCTGCTCTGAACAGGGCAGAATTAGTCTCATTTAGATGATAATGATTTGTGTACGCACATCACACAACACAACACAACACAACACAACACAACACAACACAACACAACACAACACAACACAACACAACACAACACAACACAACACAACACAACACAACACAACACAACACAACACAACACAACACAACACAACACAACACAACACAACACAACACAACACAACACAACACAACACAACACAACACAACACAACACAACACAACACAACACAACACAACACAACACAACACAACACAACACTCAACGAGACACGACACAGCAAAATAAATCCCAAATTAAGCTTTAATAAATGCAAAGTGGTTTCTAAATTTCAGCGATTGACAGCGCAAAGACCAAATTTACAAAATCATACTTGTGAGGATATTTTTATTCTCCTGTTTTTTTGGGAAACCCTGTTCCTTTTCATTAAGGGGACAAAACAGCTTCAAGATTGATGCAAATTGATTAAATGAAACACACACTGATACACACATATGCAAGCACACAGTTTTTTAATCAAGCAAAAGGAAATAGGTGTGGGTCTGGATATTTCAATAATTTCACATTTTATTATATTCAAGACATTCGTTATGTTCTTCACATAGCATACTATGGTGATTTACAAATTCTGTATGTATATTTTGATTTTTGAAATGTTTTGTTTGAGGTTACTATGTACGCTGGTTGACATTTCTGATTAACTGGTAGAGCTTTTAAAGTTTAGATTATTGTGAGAAAGTGAGACTGCTAATACCTACACACAAATACCACCAGTGCATAGCACTCCTAAAGGGGTTTGTAAAATGAAATTTATGTCCTAAAATCAATTCAATTTTTCTGACCACTAAAACAAGTGGTATCTAGTCTGGAAATTAGTTTAAAAGATAAATTACTGAAGAAAAATGTAAAGAGAATATCTGTTAAAACTTGTGGTCCCAAGTAATTAAAATAATGCAGACAGAATCCAATGAAGGAATGAATAAATCTTTTAAACACAACACACTTAAGTGTACTGCTTATTGAGAAAAAATCACTATTGTTTAACCACTCAATTTAATCACTCAATTTTTTATTTTTTTTTTGGAACGGAATTTAAAGGTGACATATCATGAAAATCTGACTTTTCCAGGTTTTAAGTGCTATAATCAGGTCCCCGGTGCATCTACCAACCAAGGAAACGTGAAAAATATTAACCCAGTAACTTTGTTTTGGTAAGCCTTTTTCTGCAAGCATCTGGAAAAATTAGTGCGTCTGATTTCGCTCCCCTAGTGACATTGCAAAGGGATCTCATTATAATATTACCACCCCTTAATCTGTAAGTTTGCACCCACGGCGCTGTCATTTTGATTTCGCAAGCGACAACGGTGTAGTAGCTTTATTAAGCTTTAATAAATGCAAAGTGGTTTCTAAATTTCAGCAATTGACAGCACCAAATTGTCAAAATCATGCTTGTGAGGATATTTTTATTCTTCTGTTTTTTTTTTTTGGGGGGGGGACCAAAATAACATCAAGATTGATGCAAATTGATTAGATGAAATCACACACTGATACACACATATGCAAGCACAGTTTTTTAATCAAGCAAAAGGAAATAGGTGCGGGTCTGGATATTTAAATGATTTCAAATTTTATTATATTCAAGACATTCGTTATGTTCTTCACATAGCATATTATGGTGATTTACAAATTCTGTATGTATATTTAGATTTTTTTTAAATGTTTTGTTTGAGGTGGCTATGTACGCTGGTAGACATTTCTGATTAACTGGTAGAACTTTTAAAGTTTAGATCATTGTGAGAAGGTGAGACTGCTAATACCTACACACAAATACCACCAGTGCATAGCGCTCCTAAAGGGTTTTTTTATGTCCTAAATCCAATTTAATTTTTCTGACCACTTAAACAAAGAGGCAGAGGTATCTAGTCTCTAAGAGTTGGAAATTAGCTTAAAAGATGAATTATTGGAGAAAAATGTAAAGAGAATATCTGTCAAAACTTGTGGTCCCAAGTAACGGATTAAATGCAGACAGAATCCAATGAAGGAATGAATAAAACTTTTAAACACAACACACTTATGTGTACCGCTTATTGAGATTTAGGAGAAAAAAATAATTCACTACTGTTCTTTTTTGTTGTTGTTGAGGAAATGAATACTTTTATTCACAAAAAAAATCATAAGTGACAGTAGATTTATTATGTTACAAAATATTTCTATTTCAAATCAAAATTTAAATAAAATACACTTTTTAACTTTCTAGTCATCACTCTAGGATCACCGTTATTACAAAATTAAGCAGCATAACCGTTTTCAACATTGATAAATGTTTCTCTTAGGCAGCAAATCAACATATTAGAATGATTTCTGAAGGATCATGAGACACTGAAGACTGGAGTAACGAATACTGAAAATTCAGCTTTACGATCACAGAAAAAAAAATTACATTATATTAAAATAGAAAAGTTATTCTAAATTGTAACTACCACAAACTTTTGAACAGTAGTGTAAATTCATGATTTTTAATAATCCAAAGCAAAACAGGTAATTCCACTTGTGTAACAGGTTGAGCTGGATTGGCAATACTGTTTTTCATTCCACATACTCACCACACACCCTATAAATTATTACTTTTTGGATCATTTATTCAAAGAATTAAAATGCCAAAACACAAAAAGGTTCAAAAATAGTAGAATCATAAGAACATTTATGAGAGTTTCTTAGACCATTCATGTAGCATTTTAAACATCTGACAGCAGTTTTTTGGCTGGGGAGCATAAAAACCATATAACAAAATGATACCATTATGCATCTGATCATTTGGGAAATACATACTCAAGTTCACATAAACCTTTAAAAGTGGCACATTTTGGACACAAGTCAGTTAAAACCTTCAAACATCATAAACAGAGAAGGGGAACTATTTGTGTTGTTCTTGGCAAATGTGTATTTAGACTACTAGTGCATGTACAGCTTGAAACAGAACTGCATATGCATGGATGATTTTGTGTCACACCCCCAAAACTAAAGATCCAGTGTGAATGATGTTTGAACAACACAAAATGAGCAGTTATATTACAAGTGTACCCATCTAAAGACCTTCTAGTGCGATAATTCTATGCTAAGAATTAATATCAATACATCCAAAAATTATGTCCGAAAAGTCAAAGTGAGGTAAACGTATTCCACATACAAGTGGGAGGGAAATGAATATACAACAACAACAAAAAAAAAAAGTAAACTACAGGAAAGAGTCACACCACTCTCTCAGACAGCTATAACAGTCGCCTTGCTGTTTAATGTTGGCTCCACAAGTATCCTTCAACCATTCCCGAAACAACTCTTCATCTTTCCTCAGTACCAAGAACTGTCCTAGAACAACATATGCCTATAGGAAGAAAAACAAAAGTGAAAGAAAGAAAAATTAATGGTTTCAGTTCCATGACTACAGAGTATATATGAAACATCTTTTTACATCATACCTTGTCAAAGCCCTTCTCTTCCAATCTCTTTCCAAGAACTTCACCGATTCCTGCAAGTGCCATCACAGATTTCTCCCCCATGGGCTCTGCCACAAAGTCCTTGTGTTTTTGTGATGTTGACGACATTGTTAATTTGTATTAGAGAGGGTTGTGGGATTTCAAGTTGACTTTCTTCAGTGGCTTAAGGCAGAGAAACAGAACAAAAACATTTATGTTAGAAGGTTTGATTTCTTAATAGCCGAAAACTAACTGCACATATAATTAAAACGAAAAGGAATGCATAAAAAAACACCTATTCAACTCCAGATATAATTTCAGCTATTGCTAAAATGCCAATTTGCCTCTCATTTCTTCATGTATTATAATATATATTGTAACACTGAGAAAGGAAAGTGAAGGTAAGTTACGAGACTACAGGGAAAGCAAAAGTCAAAACTACACATAGGATTAATAATACCATCAAAAAACGCAACAGATAGATAATAGCTAATAAATAAATTGTTATGAAATTATGCAGGTGCTAAGAGTAGTCTTGGTAATTTACACGAGTTTTTGCGGTCCCGCCTCATTTCTTCGCGATCAGCGCCACACAACGACAGCTGACACGCCATTGTCTATTCATTAAAAAAAAAAAAATAATAACCTAAGTGGCAAACACAACAGTATGAACAGTACTCTTAAGCTAACGTGCAGCAGTAACATAGTTTATAGCATACCTGAACACTATCATGGAGAAATTTCAATCCTCTTCCGCAGACGCCGTGCTGTTCACAGTCTCAATGCGCCCAAAATAACTCACACAGCGCTGCTTCCTGATCCCGCCTTTAGAAAGAACAAGTGGCCTTCCGCTCTAATCATGCAGCTGTTCAGCGAGACACGGACCCCTAGTGGCTCCAGCTATTTGGTGGAACTCAAATACAAATGTAAATAGATTTTTTTTTTACACCAAATAAACACAAATTGTATATTATTAAGCGAGTTCTTCACTTTTAGTGTGTGTGTGTGGGGGGGGGGGGGGGGGGTTCCTTTTGACGAAAAAAAGTGTAAGCGTGGAAAAATGGAAGTCAGAAGCATGCAGATCATATTTATTTTGCGTTAGCATGAAGCTGCAGTTTCACAATACATGAATTAAACTTACGAATAACAGTAAAATGCTGCAAAAAAAAAATTATTGCGCTTGAAACACGATTTACACCTTTACAAAGCTTCTCTTGCGCATGCAAATTTAATTTACGCTTACAGTCTTATGTACACTTCCACAACTCTTACCCTGCGTATGCAAATCTTTTTGACGTCATTCTACCTTCATATTTTCTGGTCAAACTGACCGGGTCAGGAGAAGCGCATACTCTCAGATGAACACCAGGGGGCAGTGATACATTAAAAACAACTTCCAACAACAACGCTGACAAATGAATTTTTGTGCTAAGTATATATACACGAGGAAAACTGTTGTTGATTTACACAAATCGTTTGAACTGTAGAACTGTTGCTGCACAATTTACAAGTTTTTTTTATTAGTATCCCTACAATTTGCATTGTTCCCTAGGATGACAGTGCTTATTTTTTTGTTCAGCTGTATTTTATCATTATAAATTTATTGCAAGACTACCTACATTTTTTGGAGTGAATATTTCAGATGTCTCATTTTGATCATGCAGAACTATCATATTATGGTTGTGCAGTTACATTTTACATTTACATTTAGTCATTTAGCAGACGCTTTTATCCAAAGCGACTTACAAATGAGGACAATAGAAGCAATCAAAACTAACAAAAGAGCAACAATATGCAAGTGCAAATGACAAGTATCGTTTAGCCTAACGCAGTACACGTAGCAAGGTATATATATATATATATATATATATATATATATATATAAAC